TGCACTTGGGAGAGCTCTGTCTGCCAGGGACAAGAGAAGCCTATGGGTGGGGATGGTGAGGGGGCTTCCCCAAGGCCCCACCTCAGATGGAGCTGCCCCAATCCGCGTGATAGGCCCAGCTCCTGGTTCACTGTCTCTGTAATTGCTGAGTGTTCACTGCCACCTAAGCTAAGGAGACTCAAGACTTATGTCAAGGTAGGAAGTGCATCAGGCCCAGGAGGAGCTTAATCCAGCCTTGTCCAAGGCAGGCTTGACTCCCCTTTCTCTACCCTCTCCGACTTTGTCAAAACAACATCATGTGCCTCCTTGGTCTATTTCTCCGCAGCTGCCCCCTCCCCCTGTGCCGCACAGGCTGCCTCAAGGATCAGATTCCAGGCTTTTTTGTTCTTATTCCAACTGGCCACTGTCCACATCCCTCCTCCCCATGAAGCTGCACTCCCAGCTCTGCAAATCTGAGCGGGGCTCAGATGCACGTGCACCAAGGGCACTGTGGCTGAGGCCGCCTCTTGCGGTCCCCACCCTTCCATAGTGCAACTCCCGTGTCCTTGACAGACTTGCTTTTGTCTTTGAGTAAATGTAAGTTCTGTTCTCCAGTGGCTGATGATAAAATTGAAATAAGTCCTAACCCCGATTTTTGCAACACGCTAAGGTATCTCCAGTAGCCTTCAGGGAGAAGGGACATCAAATTATGGAAACAAAATTCATTTTGCCTCACTTTGGTTAAAAACTGAAATATATCACCTAGCCTGGGAGTAGGGTAGGGAATATGGTGAGGTGTTTTGGGGTCATTAAACTCTAACAAACCAGGGGTGGTGTCACAACTCCAAAAAGAGTTAAAAATCCCTCCCTTAGCAATTTCAGGTCCACATTCCCTATCTGTAATTTCAAGTCTAAGAAGCTCTGAAAGCCAATTTTTGTTAATTTGGTGCCAAATTTTATTTGGGGAAAAATTTGACCTGGACTTGGTTAAATATTCATATTTCTATTCAAAAATAACAAAATGCTGCCCCAGATTCCACTGGAGGACTGTGTGATATTTGGTATTTGTACCATATCACCTTCCTAAAGTCCCAAATGTTCTAAATTTGGAGCCTCATCTGGTCCCAGGGTTTCAGATCCAAACCCACGAACCTGCACTAGCCCTGGCTGAGCATGTGGTGTGTGCCGGGCACTGCTCTGAGAACTTTCAGGTTAGCATCTCCTTTGTCTTCCTAACATCCTATGCGATGGGGACTGTTTCTTTCCTCAGTCTCACTGAGGCTCAGAGGGGCTAAGTAGCATTGCTCGCAGCACCCAGCTCAATCAGCATCTGTGATTGGACTCCAGCCTCAGTTCTGTCTGCATCCAGGGCCACACTGAACTGCTGCCCTGAAGCCAGATGGCATTTGCCTTTTACCTTAAGTGGATGTGAACAGTCCATTGAAAATGGATCATTCACTCAACTAGTAAAGTAAAATCCCCCAAATTGAGGAATATTCGTCTGTAAGTAAGAATAATGAGCTCCTACAGACAACTGGGTATTTCTGCTTGCTCAGGAATTTGTGTCTCAGCTCACATTTAGTAACCATTCCTTTAAAAAACCAAGATGCAAATTCAAATGAATGTCTGGTTTTCCCACGGTAACCACTATCACCCACAGGCAGTGCAACAAGCTAGTAAATGCCATGCCAGAGGTCATCAGTGTTTCTGCTGCTCAGCTTGGTCATCAGGAACACTTGAGAAGTTTGTTTGGCCTGACGCACTTGAGAAGCATGCATTTCCCCACCATCAGGGCTGCCATCTGTCCTTCCACAGGAGTACCAACCAGTTCTTGCCTCAAACACTCACCTCTTTCTTTCTTTGTTTCTTTCCCCTAGAAGAGTGACCAGGGCTGAGTCCTTAGACCTTAGAGTTAATGGGAAGAGGCCAAAAGAAGGAAGGGGTGCTGTTGAGATGCCCAGCTTGCAGGGCTGTGTGGTGTGTTTTGGCTAGAAGAATGCCAGGTAGAGCACAGAGTGTTGGGGGAGGGGTGAAAGGACAGTGCGAGAGTTTCAGAAGGAGCAAAGGGGAGAGCCACAGCCTGCATGGCAAAGATGGCCCTCTGTCCTTTCCCACTGGGCTGGGAACTGTCCGGGAGGGGCAGGGCCTAGAGCAGGAAGAGCCCACGAAGCTTGTAGGCCACACGACACCTGTCAGCCTTGTGGCAGGCATGGGGTCTAGAGAGAGCGCTGCTCATATCTGTCCTGACACAGCTACAGGTTTAGAGGACCAAGAGCCAGATGTGGGAGCTCAGAGTCAGGAGTTAGAGTTACAGTGATAGCAAACCCTCTGTTGGTGCCTACTTTGTGCCAGGCCCTGTTCAAAGTGCTTTGCATGTACGAACACGCTTAATCCTCAGGCAACCTATCATCACCCCATTTTGTAGAGGACACAGCAGTTAAGAGGTTAAGGTAGGAATGGAAGGCTCCAGAGGCAGTGCCCCACACGTGGCAGTATTTGTGTGGGCTCTAGTTGATGTCCTGCTCTGGCCCTGACTGGCTGTGTGACTTTGGGCAACCCTGCTGACTTCTCTGTGCCTTTCTTCTCAACTTTAAAAGGAATAGTAACAGCTCCTACCTCCGAGAATTAAGATGAGAAAAGGCAGGTGGAGCACTGAGTCCCATGCCTGGCCACGGGCCCCGGCCAGCACTGCCTGGGAAGGCAGACCTTGGTGGCAATAGCATCCCATGTGGGGAGCCCAGCCTCTTGCCTCTCACGGCAGAGGGCACTTGAGCCCTCTATTGTGCTCCTAGCTTCAGGGAGCTTGCTCTTTCTCCTGAACGCCTTCTGCAAGCCCACATAGGTAATTGGTTGGGTGCAACTTGCATGACCTGCATCATGAAGAATTCTCCCTCTGAGCCAGCTCATCGGCTCTGAGGCAACACAGTGAGGCTACAAAGGTACCCAATTGAAGACAAAACAAAACAAAAAGCTCACAATGTTAGATGGTGCCACGTCTCCAGGGTGAGGATCTTGCCTGCTAGTGTAAGAGTTCCAGTGCTGATGCTGGCGCTCCACCGAGCTAGCTGCAGAAGTCCATGCAAACAGATGGCAACAGCCCTATAATAAAATCAAACCAAAGTGCTCCTGAACTGCCGACAAGGGCCCTGAGCCCCCGGGTGGCCCGCCCTGTCCTCCTGCTTTGTTTGTCTCCACAGCACTCACCCTGGCCACCCCCATGGGAGCCCCATCAAATGACCAATTGCCCAGTGTCAAGCACTCTATTTGCTTATACTCCAGGAGACCTGGCAGAAAAAGACATGGTCTCTATCCCTCTGGGACTGCCAGGGTGCCCTCACACAGGGCTCTCGAATAAGAGGTCATTCATTGGTGGGGCGAGAGAGGAAAGGTGGGAAGGGAAGGCCAGGCACAGGGATCGGCAGGAAGCAAGGCCAAGACTGCACAGAGCAGCCCAAGAGCGGCAAGCCCTTCAGGGTTACAGAAAGGAAGTGCAAGGCAGGGCCCGATGGCCGCGGAGCCTAAGGAGGCTGGTGGGGTCTGCTTGTGGGCCCCTGGAGACTTCGGAGCCAGTGCGAAACATGATCATGCCACTGTTTGGGCAAGGCGACTCTTAGAACAATGGATGGTTTATTGGGAGAAACCAGTTAAAGATCAATTGGATGAGTTCAGACAAACAATGAAGAGAGCCTGAACTGGGCAGTGATGAAGGCAATGGAGAGGAGGGATGGTGGCTAACTGTTCTGTGTAGGCACACATGTGACATGGCCCCACAGAGTCCTGCATCCTGCTGTTCACACCTTCACATAATCCCTCTGGCTTACATCTAATGAACATCCCCAAAGTGGTGGGATGTTACTTCCTGGACTAGGTTATAAAGACTGAGACTTCTGACTTGCTGGCCCTACCCTCCCCCTGCACCCTCTTGCTGCGTGTTCCCTCTGGCTTGCTCAGGTGATGAGGCCATGTGGCAAGGAACCGAGGGAGGCCTCTGGCCAATAGCTCATGAGGAATTGAGGCCTCAGTCCAACAACCTGCAAGGAACTGCTTCCTGCCAACAACCATGCGAGTGAGCTTGGAAGCAGATCCTTCCCTGTTGAGCCTTGGGATGACTGCAGCCTTACGAGAGACTAAAGTTGTGCCAGGTTCCTGAGCCCCAGAAACTGAGGTAATGTGTGTGGTTTTCAGCTGATGCTTTGGGGCAATTTGTTACGCAGCAACAGATAACCAATGCAGGTGGGGGCGGAGCAATGAAGAGTGGGAACTGTGTAGACACCACCTGGGTAGAATCAGCTGCATTTAGTGACTGAAAAGGCTGGAGGTGATGAGGGAGGGGGAGAAGTCAAAAGTAATTTGTAAAAAAGCAGAGGCTCTGGAGCAAGACTGCCTGACTTCCAGTTCCTGCTCTGTCCCTTGCTAACTGTGTGACTCTCAGAAAGCCAGTTCTACTCTCTGAGCCTCAGTTTCTTCATTTGTAAAATGCAGATGGTAAGAGTAACTACCTTATGAGTACCTGTCTTATTCCTTCCAAGACCTGCCCTAGCGCCCGGCACAGCGATGAATGGTACACTGAAGTTGTGAGCAAAAGTTTGTTGTGGCATTTCTAGAAGGCTTAGTGTTCATCTTTGTGCTAGCAGGGACACGATTTAAATGCTTTAGTGCAATTTCCTTGCATCCTAAGAAGCCTTCACTAGTCCTGGTACATGGCCCAGTGCAGGAGAAGGCAGTTCTTCACAATTCTGACTTATCTCCCCTACCTCCTTCCCCTGGGAGCACCTTGTGGGTGCAGCTCTCCTCCCAGGGAAGTTAGGTGACCTGAACAGACACTGAAACCATAACCTTGGCCTCATTAACACTGTGCTTTTACACAGATTAGCTGACTTTGATACACCTTTCCAGAGTCAATTCCAGTCTCAGAGAGGACTACAGCCTGGATTTGCCCTCCAAAGCCAGGCGTCAATAGCACAAAACGCAGTTGTTATTTCCAAAACAAAGAAACACTACCAGATATGCAATTGTCTTACCTGTCTGGGCAGTGCAGGCATGGAATCTGAGGCCACTGGTCGCTGAAAGCGTTGGGGCTGCATCATATGCTGCAGGAGGAACGAAGAATGGTCAGGCTGCTGTGGCGGCTGCAGGGTGGCAGTGGCGGTGGAGGAGGCAGTGGTAGAAGAGGCCTGTGTGAGCGTTGGCTGCTGCAGGTAGTGGAGCAGAGAAGGCTGCCTAGAGGTGGTGGGCATGGGGGGCATCTTCTGGGGGCCTGGCTCAGAAACAAAATGGGACAAGGGCTTGGTGTTGCCAAAAGTAAATGGCTCCGGGGCTCCTGGGCTGCAGCCCGCCATCCCCTGCTGCATGATCATGCTCAGGGTTTTGGATGAGTTGGAGGTCACGGGCTTGAAGATCGCGTTTGCTTGATGCTGCTGCTGCTGCTGCTGCTGCTGCTGGCTGAGCAGGCTATTGGTGGGAGTGAGGCTCCGGATGAGCGAGCACTGCGGGGTGAAGGACTGCTGCGGCAGGCCAGGGCTCGAGAGCTTCTCTGGCCGATAGGGTGGCGATGGCCCAGGGTTGCTGGTGGGCAGAGCAGACATCAGGTGTCCTTGAGGGTTTTTGATGGTAGAGGACACAAGGTTGGCAAGAATAGAGCTCTGCGGGCTGAACTGCGGCTGCTGTGTGAGAGCGGGGCTGGGGAGCTTCTCGGGGGCGTAGGGCATGGCGGGTCCCAGGGCAGCATTGCTGCTGGACGCCATGCTTGAGAGTAAGGCATTGGGAGAGCCTTGGACAGTGCTGCCCGGCAAGTTGCTGGACGACATGCAGGACACCATGAGGCTCTGAGGGCTGAATGGTGGTGGCGGCGGTGGTGGAGGTGGTGGCGGCGGTGGGTGTGGCGATGGCACTGGGCGGTAAGGTGGAGAGAGGCCTGGAGGAGGCAGACCGGACCAACTGGGGGTTGGCCCTTGCTGCTTTGTAGCAGATCCCTGCTTGCTGGCTGCCAACGCCTTCAGCTGGTGGGCATGATGCCACTGAGGCACTGGAAGTGGGGGCAAAGTGGCAGGGAGCATGGCCTGGACCTGGTTCTTGGCCTGTGCTGTTGCAGAACTGGGTGAGACCATCTGCTTACTAGTGGAAGGGATCGAATAGCTGATCCCTGTGGAGGAGGGCGGGATTTGAAGTGACACGCCAGTGACTTGGCTGCAACTGGAGGCAAACTCCTTGCCGGAAGCAAGGCTCTCCAAGTGTGGCATCTGAACCGAAGGCTTGGGAGTCGTGCCTAGAGTTGCCTGGGGATGATCTAAGACCAGTGGCTCTTCTGGCTTGCTTCCCAGTATCTTCTCAAGATCCAGCTCATTCGGAGAAGGTTCTTGAATTTTCGTTAGCTCCTCCAGCAGATCTTGAAGTTCTTGGTCTACAGCCGGCATGCTGTTGATTTTCTCATAGTAAGGAACGGTGGGCCCTTTCAGCCCCATTTCTGCAGTTGGTGGCACCACAAATGGTGAATCCATAACGCTGCCGTTCATGGAATTATTCTCGAGTAGTAATGACTGGTTAGTTACTCCTACAGCTGCAGGGCTAGGATGCATTGTTAACGGAGGGACCTGCAGCTCTGCACAGGGGGTACTGGGATGGGCACTTGGGCCCATAGCAAGGGTGACATCTTCAAGGCAGGGCCTCTTAATTTTATTAGGGTAACCCCCATCAGCCATGCCCGGAAACTGGAAGTTGTCTCCTTCCTGTCTCCTCTTGATGGTTCCCTGTGGCTGAAAGAGGAGAGACAAAGATAGAGAGAGAGAGAGAGAGGGAGGAAGGAATTTTTATAAAGGCTTGGCACATTAAAACTAATGAACACAAAACCTGCAAGATAGAACAGACCTCTCAGTTAAAAGACTTAAGCAGTTGTCAAAACTATAAAATACAGCCTGTTTTTGGAACCATAGTGCTTGTTCCTTTGTTGCTATGTTTCATTTAAACTGTCTTGTTGTATTTCAAATAAATCATTATGCTGTCTGTATACCAAACAGGGTAGAAAGTCATGCAAAGGGTGTTCTTTGCCCACTTCAAGGAGAGAGTTTAACAAAACTATGCAGAAGTCGCTAAATGAACTGTACTGCCAAAGGCAGGCATTTGAGAGCAAACTAGGTCTAGCTAAATATTTTTAATTCCTACCTCTCTAGACACAGGCCAATTTTAACAAAGGAAAATCATAACATTGACATTGAACTTTTAGGCTGCTTCCCTGTGTTGGTTAAATGCGTCAAGCTGCAGTGATAAAACAGAACACAACAGAGCCCTTACGGTAATGAAGTAGATCTGGGCATGCTCTTTTAGGCAGCTGTTTAAGATGTATCATTAAGGGAAGCACAGGTTTCAGAACAGTCATTGTAGGCATTGTAGTCATCGTTCCATTTATTTTCACACACACACACAAACACACACACACACACAACGCATTGCTTATGTGCACATGAAGATAACTTGGAAGTACTTATACCCAACCATTTGAAGTCCTCATTTCTTGGGGGTAACTGACAATTCACTTTTTACTCTCTACATGTCTGTATTGCTTATTTTTAACAAGAAGGACTTGTAATTCAAAAAAAAAAGTATAAAGTTATCTAAATAAGAAATTCCTCTCTGCAGATGCATCCTCAGGTTGGGGAGTTATCAAACAACAGGAAAAGGCCCCAATCTGGGATCTGCACCTTGGGGGAACTGCCCGCCATTTATAAAAGCATAGCTTTTGGTACAAAGTAAAGTCCCTAGTAAGGTGGCATTTCCTACTCTTTCATAGCTTCATGCAGTCAACTGTGGCTGTCACGTTAAAGACCATGGCCTGTACGTCAGCAGGTAAAGGGGAAAAGGGAGTGGGGTGAAATAGTATGCGTGGGAATGGTCAAAATAAGGATGGGAGAGAGGGACCTGGAAGTCACCTGAATGCCAGCAGGCAAACGGATATGATTCTTCTAAAGCGCTTAGCTTTGGAAGTCTCACTAAGATACACAGTGCTGATCCTCTGCTGTCGCCGCACGTTTGGCTCTTCTGGTTTGATGAGCTTGTATCTCACTGGGAGCTCAAGGCATGCATGGGGCCACTTGCTAGCACGACAGGGGTCATGACTCTCATGGCCAAGTGAACATCAAAGTAGGTCCCCAGGGCTGCATGTCTCAGGCCTTGCTGCCCATCAGAATCGCTTAGAAACATCCATGTTCCCAGGCCCTCCCACCACAAACCGATTGCTTTTGTCTCACCCAGGGTGAGGCCCAGGCACCGGGAGTGTTTACACAGCTCCCTGGCTGATTCTGAATGGACAGCCAGACTGAAAACCACCGGGCCAGAGCCCTGGGCCTGAGGCAGACACAACTAGGTCCTGGCCTTGCCATTTAACCTCTCTGAGCCCCAGTTTCTCCATTTGTAAAATGAGTGTAATTATAGTTCTTATCTCATGATGCTGCTCTGACTATTAAGTGAAATGGGGCAGATTGTGTCACCTACTAGATCCTCACTAACTGGTACCTGGAATTACAAAGGCCACATCTGGAAGCCCTGGGAATCCAATCTTCTCCTATTAAACACAGGGATCATCTGACCCAGGGAGGAGGCAGGGCTTGCCCAGAGCTATTCAGCCAGAGGGCAACATGGCCCAGGCCAGATGCAGGGCCCTCCACGACCACTCAGCTGCCTCCAAACCCTCTGCTTTCAGGTATGCTGATGGCAGACACTGCATCATCCCCACAGAAGGGGCTCACCACCTTGAGTGACAGGACTTGCATACTTCTTTGACTTTTCTTTTGAGATGCCCATGACTTGAACAAGGGCTCTTTGCAGGGCAGCTCTGCCACCAAATTCATCTGAGGCCTAAATACTATGGGTCAGGGAGGAATGGGTTGGGGAGGATAGAACAAGGCATAAGAAGAGACCTATCCTGTCATCTGTGCCCACTTTTCCATGAGGAGCCTGGCTGGGCACAGCACCCATAGTGTCCCTGAGCTGTGTCTGGCCCACAGCAAGTGCTCAATAAATAGCAGCTGAATGAATTAATGGACACAGGGAGTGTAGCCATTCATGCAGTCAACGATGGAGCAGCCCAATAAGCAAGCTACTGGGTCCCAAACTGAAATTTGGTCTTTTCCACATTCCCCCAAAGAATCTGACAGGATCCAATATATTAAAAATAGAAATGTGTGAAGTAATCAATTAGGGATGACTGAGTGTGGGTTTTACACCAGGATCCCTTACAGGGAGTCTGAGCTTGCAATGGTTAGGCCCAATGTGCTGTACATGAGCTGAAAGACAGAGTTAATGATAGTGAGGTCAGTGCACAACCAGGCAGGCCAAGGGTGGGTGAAGTGGGATAAGGACAGGAGGCCGGAGGCTGTGGTGAGCCTCTGAAATCTGCTGGCAGATTCTGTGGGTCCTGGAGCTTTCACTAAGTAGTTGGTCTGCCATCAACCTGTGGGGACTAAGTTAGAAGGGGCGGGGAAGGCAGGGCCACCAGCAAAGGAAAGGAGGCTGCACCTCTCCTAAATGAGAACCTGTGTGTACACAGCTTCTCAAGCACCCAGCAACTGCATCCCAGCAAATGGTCCTCACCCAACTCCAATTCTAGAAACCAACTGTCACCTTAATAACAAAGTAGACCCCAGGACACTCCTATTGCTGGTGGATCCAACTTTCTGGAGCGGATGCTACCTTTGCTATGCCAAGTCTGCAGATGGACAGCCACTGGCGCTCGCCTCACTGAATATTTAGGGATGATGCCTAATGAGGGGGCAGGCTCACTTTGCTGTCCCCAGGGGTGGGGTGGGGGTGCCGACTGAAACTGTTGTTTCAGCAGAGTGCCAGTCCACCAGCCTCTTCCGAGCTTCCTTTTTCAGTGGACTTAAATGAGAGACTTGACTTTGTTATAGGCCATGCAGCTCCATGTTTTGGATTCTATGATAGGAGCTTTCAACAGTTAGCCTGAAGCGCCCTGGCTGAACAGCAAGAACACCAGCCAACCCTAAACAAAGCCAAGGAAAGGCGGCTGTGTTTACATGGAAGTGCTCAGCCTTGCTATAATAGCATCTGCTTTCACCAGTCATCGGTGAGGCGTGGAAATCTATTATCCAGTTAATTTTGTCCCTAGATAAAGGCTAGCTTCAGTGTCTCCTCTTTCGCAGTCCCACGATTTGCTACTCATCTCAACTGTGAGAAGCTGGCTGGGCTTTTCCCTGTCCCAGTGCCACATTGGTGCCTTCACTGGGTCACCTGTGCCAGTGGCTGCTGCTGCCTCAGTTCTGCCTGCCCAGGCTGGGTGTTTTTGACTGAATCCTATGGCCACCATGTTAGAGCGAGTGCAGCAGATAGATCACTGCTCTGGAATGACTTCCCCCTCTCAATGTCCGGTGGGGGTGGCAGCCCCCCCCAACCAAGCTTCCAGACCTTTCTAAACAAACTATCCTACTTTATGCACATGTCTCTGTGGCCCCGGTGACAGCAAGGTATTAGTCCCAGCCACCAGCCAGCCCCTACTTCCTTTGGGTCATGCATTCCACATGATCTTGTCCTCTACTGTGACAATCAGTAGATTCTGGCAGGATACCTAGAGAGCATATCTCAACCCCTTTTTACAGAAAACAGAATGGGATGGGATTTGCTTTCGGCTGCGCAGTTAGTTATGGAATAAGGACACTGGACCCAGGTGTCCCAGCTCCCAGCCAGAGCCCTCATAGGTCCTGCCTTTGATGGGGGGGAGGGGAGGAAGAGACAGTGCCCTGGTGTCTTTTACAAATGAATTACTTTCTCTCTCTACATAAATGCCCGTGGAGTCCCATTTCATAATCCCGCAGACAAAGCCACCAATGTGATCCCCATGACCTTATAAACATTCATTAAAATGCATTTCAAAGCATGTGATGCCTCCCCACCTCCTAAATAATGAGAAAACAAAGGCAACCCTTCTGACAGAGGCAAGTTCAACTCTGAAGTCAACATCATTTCTGGTTCTGTCTGAACAATGACATAGGGTAACACTTCCCTTTCTCCATTTTTAGTCCAGAATGACAAAAAGGGCAAAGATTTCTTAGAAAAGTTATAGACTATAAGAATATAACCCAGGCTCATAAAATTGGCATGGGGAGAATAAAGAGTCTATTACATCTATTACTCTTTCCAAAGAAGTATGGTAGGCTATGAGAAATGCTTAATTTTGAACACTCTAGCTGAGGTTTAACATGCACACCAATAACAGGCCAGCAAGACGTATGCACAGTTCCTTTTGGGCAAGAGGCTAGGAGGTCAAAGGTAGCCAGAAAAGATTGACTCAGGGAGCCTCATATTCCCTCTGAGGGCACTGGGCATGTAGGCCCTGGGCAAAATTATCAACAAGGTGAGAATCGCCTGTGGCTTTTTTAGTCTGCTGTGTCCCTCACCAGTGCAGCTCAGGCTCATTTACTTGCTGGTCCTCCTAGTGTCTCTCTTACAAGTACATCCATGCTCCATCAACAGCTTTATTCAATGTTATTACAGTGCCTCCTGTGAGCTTCCAAGCACCTGATGCCGGCCAACTAGATTAGATTTCAAGCCCTCTGAGGACAAGGATGGTCCCCAGTGGCTTATGTCAGAAGGAAATAATGAAGACATCAGGGGACATGATGGGGGTGGCCCCAGAACAGATAAGACAATGAGGCCTCATGGCTGGGTTTGCAGGGGAAGGAGGACAGGGAGGGGGAGAATGTGAATGTGCCTTGATATATGCATGAGCTCAGGTGAATATCCACGT